CGACTAAGGAATGGTTAGACTTCACCCACGAATTGGAGTTCGGACGGCCACCCACAACCAAACCCTAAGTGCTGGTATGAAGTAGGAGGTTTGCCCTTAACTAACCTAGAATAAGAGGCATAAAATGTCCAAGGAAACCCATCTCTAATAGAGCCTCTTAGGTAGCGGTGGTAAACGGTTTACTGGTTAACGATATAACCGGTTACCGAACCGGTAACCGGTATACTGTTAACCGGTTATAACAAATTCAGACGGTAGTCGAAATCCATATAGCCTGTCCCGGTATACTGATAACTGGTTTCAGAAACCGACATGTTAACCGGATACCGATAAGCTAACCGAACACAAGCAACCTAACCCCCTAATTCCGATATGCCCCCCCCCCATCTACCACCAGTCTACTTCTTCTCTTCTCATTCTTTCCTCTCGACCTGCCCCATCTGAGATTTACATTCTTCTCTTCTCATGGGCCATCTTTCTGTCTTTTCTAGTACTGACGGAAGTAAAGGAATGGTGCGAAGCGTAAGGGAATTCTTCTTTCTTCTCATCATTTATGGATATTGAGGCAAAATCAGGGGAAGAAAATCAGAGAACGATAGGGATATTTCCAAAAGAAGATGGACATGCATCGCCTTTCTCCACTCCTCCTTTGCCATACGCCGCCATTGCTATGTCTCCTGTCCCAAATCGACTTCCCCGGCACCATCGCCGTCGCCATCGGCTTTCCCGGCACCATCGCCATTGCGCCCGTTTCACCAGCATCTGCTATCAAATCAATGGCAATCAAGCCACCGCCGAGAGATGATCAATCATCGTCGCTCAGACTCTTTCACTGCCGTCGTCGACATCACAGTCCAGGCACTCCATTTTCTCAAGGTCACTGATGTGAGTAATTGATTCCGCCTTGCCCAGATCTAAAAATGGCTTCTCAATCACCGGCTCTGTACCTCGTTCTCCTCTAATGGACGACGAGAGGGACAGTCGCCTGATGATTTTGTAGGAGAATCAGAGAAAGACAGTCGCCGGAGATAGAGAACGGCAATCGGCAGCGAGAGGGATTCGATTTGTGGGCTTCAATCAAACTGTTCCAGTGGCGGCGGCGACAGTGGTGGAGAGCCTGCATCGATCGGCGTCGGAAGGGAGCACGATAAAGGAGGTGGGAGGTGGCGGTTGTTGTTGTTGGTGGTGGTGAAGGCAGGGGAGAGGTAGAGGAAGTCAAGGAGTACGAGGAAGAATGGGATTATGGCGGAGGGGGTTTGGGGATTTTCATGGTGGAAGAGATAGGAACGAAATGGGGTGAGAAAGTGAAGGAATGGTCTCTATGCGAGATGATGTATTTGAGAATTTTTTTTAAAAAGATTTGTGATTAAATCGGTATTCCTCTCATAACCGGTTGTTAACCGTTAACTGGGTAACCGGTTAGCCGGTTAACCAATTTCTATCTGGTAACGGTAGGCGGTAGTTGTTTTGTACTAAACGGTATACCGTTAACCGGTTAATCGGTTACCGGTTAACCGGTAACCGACCTATTACCACCCCTACACTTAGGTTAAGGAGGGTTCTCTCTAAACTAGCTTAGGAGGGATTGAATGCCCAAGGAAACCCAGCTCAAATTGAGCCTCTTTGGATAAAGGAGGTTTCCTCTCTAAACTAGCTTAGGATGCATGAAATACCCAAAACACCCATCTTCAACGGAGCCTCTTAACCTAAGGAGGTCTCCTCTCTAAGCTAGGTTAGAATGATAATTGGATTGATAGGCTTTCACACAACACAATCATTACTAAATAATACCTCCACATTCAAATTAAAACACAACCACACAAATCATTCAATTCATACAAGCATTCACGTAATTGTAGCTGGGGTTTACAAACACCCAAGTGAATATGTAGGCTATTCCATAGCTAGACAAAAGGAAAACAAGGAAAAGGAGAGAAAGAATCATGGAGAGATGAAAACATTTCCTCCTTGTTGCTTGAATCTCACTTGATAAGAAGAAACCTCCACTCCTCTAGCTTGAAATGAGCCCAAATATTCTTCTTCCTCCTTTAAATTGCACTTTCTCTCTCTAGATTAGGAAGAGGAAACCCTAATCTCTCACTAGAAACCCTCCTTTATTCTAAAACTAAAAACCTACCAAAAAGCTCTTTCTTCCTCCTTTCGGCTCTCAATTTATACTGAGATCGCGCCTAGTTCACGGCCGTGAACATCAGAACGCGTCGGTGAACACAGTGTCTGGACCACAACACACCGCTTCACATCTTGAGGTTCACGGTTTGTGGCTTCTGCTCACGGTCTTAGCGACCGTGAACAGCCTGGCCATCATTAACCTCAAAACCTCCTCTGGTCGCTTCACTGTTCACGGGTTGTGGTTCCAGTTCACGGTCCTGGCGACCGTGAACTCTCATCTCTAACCATGAACTGTGGCTGGTTGCTGGATGCTTTGTACTTTTCTTTGGTTTTTTCGCTTTTTGACATCCAATCATCCCGAAACTCGTCCTTAACCTTTCCACGTTTGATAGGACCTGAAATGTATCAAAACAAGCACAACCTAGCATGAAATATGTCGAGGGACGATGAAATGCAAAGTCAAACTACCATGAAATGAGGGGCAAATGTGTACAATTTGACCCGAATCAACTCGCTCTACATGCTCCTTTCTTTGGGAACTTGTTCCTATGCTGTTTCCCCATCATACAAGTTCCACTTACTCCCAACTCTCCAGATATCTTGGGAAGACCTTCCACGAGCTCCTTTCTGTGCCGTTGAACCAGACTAGTTGAGTTTAGATGCCCAAACCTACTTCGCCACATATGCAAGTGGCCTTCTTGATTTTTATCAGTCTGCAGGCACTGCATGATGTCTTCTGGATGTTCACCTAGACGTTTTGATTGGAGTATGAACATTCTATTTGACTTCATGTTGGTTTGCAGCATCAACCCATGCTTCTCATGATAAATCTTGCAAGTACCATTTCTGATGGTGAAGTCCAGGTTTTTCTCCTACAACTGACCTACACTCAGTAGGTTTGATTTCAACCCTGGCATATAGAAAAAATGTTGGATGACTAGAGGAACTTGATCTACCACCATCTTAATGGCACCCTTTCCTTGAACTTCCATTCGACTGCCATTCCCTAGTTTCACATCACTCTTGAATATGTTGTTGAGCTTGATGAACCAACTCTTATCACGACACATGTGGTTACTGCAGCTAGAATCTAGAAACCACCATTCTTCCTTTTGTTTCTCCAGTTGATGAGAAACCATAAGTTCTTGACTTTCTGTAGATTTTTCATCCACTGAGCCATCAGGAGCACACCATCTCTTATCTCAGGAAAGGAGGAATTCCAATTGGAGTAATGAGCTTGAGTATTCCAGTCAGGGCATTCATTGTGAAAATGCCCCATTTTGTGGTACTTAAAATACTCCACATGATCTTTATTCCTTATTCTACCTCCTCCCCTGCCTCTGCCTCCTCTTCCAAACCTACCACCTCGTCCTCTGCCTCCTCCAAACATTTGAAGTGCTTTGCAAAGCATTGAAAGAAAGTGTTGGTTATGTCCTTTGACTCCTCAATAGAACACACTATGTAGTTGAATTTCTCAGTAGGGTTTCTGAATACCTTTTCAACAATGATGTGTCTGACATAGATTCCCCACTGTTCCTCATTGAGTTGGCGATGACCATCACTCTGTTGAAGTAATCAGTAACAGATTCTCCCTCCTTCATTTGCAGCAGCTCAAATTTCCTTCAAAGTGCTTGGAGATTGGACTTCTGCACTCTTTCATTGCCGTGGTAGCGAGTCTTCATGGATCCCACAGCTGCTTGGCAGTCCCCTTGCGGGTAATGGTTTTGAGGATGGCTTTGTCGATTGAACCAAAGAGATAGTTCTTTGCATTCAAATCCATCAGGCGAGTAACTTCTAGGGTTTTTGGTTGAACTGCATTCAGCTCTTCTCCTTCTCCAGGCTCCTGGAATCCTGTGTCCACAACAGCCCAGATTTCTTTGGACCTGAGCAAATTCTCCATGACCAGACTCCAGTGGTCATAGTCCCCATCAAATTTGGGAATTCCGACCTGAGCAAAACTGTTATCACTCAAGTTTTGCTTCTTCTCTCACCAAAAACAATAGCTTCCCTTGATCACTCGTGTTTCCCAGAACCCAAATCACTTTACTATTTCGCACACTATGCTCTAACACTCTCACAACACTCGGATTTGCTTGGTCATAGCCTGCGATTGCTCTGATACCCTTATGATAGTGCAAATGAAAGCAAACTGACGAGCTTTCTTATTCTCAACCAAGGAGTTTAAATACAGGAGTGAGCACCATGAAGTTCAGCCACTCACTAACAGAAGGATCATAGATCCAGGACTCTAGCAACAACTAACAAACTCTTCTATCTTTCTGCTACTAACTCTAACTAAGCCAACTCTTACATATGGACTTGACTCACTCGGAAAACAAATAGCAGAGTCCAGAGATAAATAAACCATAAAGGCTACTTTCCAACGGATAGCTTATGAAGAGAAGAACAACCCGCCTTTCTTCAACAAAGATTGCAATTGGATGTCACCAATCATGTTTTAAGCATAGTAGGTAGGACCAGAGGGCAACAATTTCTAGTGTTTGTTTAAGGTGTTGACAGTGGTTTAAACACCTTGTTTGTGGCCAAAATGGGATTTGCACTTTATGGTCACCTCCATCTTCTATCCATGTAAGATAACCGGAAAGAACACACTGCTTCTCCTTAGCTGGATGGTTGTTCTCAATCGTGAGCTTGAACTCAAGATTTTCCGGCACCACCTTCATGGACAGCCCTTCCAACGGCGTCAAACTCGTTCGGTAAACTTTTTGTTCCTTTACCGATATTAGTAATATCACTGTCCTGGTAAACTCCAAGACCTCATGCGGGTGAGAACTGCTTATGTAGTTGATGTTGAAGAGAGTGCAAGAAAGGATGGATAATTGAGGTCGAGAGTTGGGGCAGAGCAGAGGTCAGTTGACGATGATGGTGTGATGGCTCGAATTTGATTGGCGGTGAAATTCATTGTGCATAGCAAGTTGACATAATCGTTTACACTGGCGTCGTAGACTAGACCGAGGGTGTAATGCCTTGTTGGGGTTAACATGACCCACCCCGATGCCAAAAGCTGTGGATGTGCGCTCACTTTTGCCCGCATCTTTGATCGGCTGGTTGGAGAGATCGAGTGAATTCACTACCTTCATCATCACCGTTAGAATCGTAGCGGGGCTCCAGTCTGGGTGCGCCTTCTTGATGAGGGCTCCTACTCTGACGAGATGTGGGCACGACATTGAAGTCCCGGAGAAAAGTTTGAACTCAGTGTGTAAGGAATTTGGGCCGTCCTCCTTGGGCTTGATGTTGGAAGGCCAGGTCGTGAGGATCAGTGATCCGGGCCCAATTATGTCGGGCTTCAGGACGAACGAGCAACTGTTTGATGGGCCTCTGGAGATGTAACTTGTGAGCGTAGGCGCTGGTCTCGGGTCAAAGCTGGTGAGCCCAAATTCTAAACTCCCTTCCGCTTCCGGGTGGCTCCTCACTTAATTCTCCAAATTCTGCCCGTCCTTCGGGGTTATGAAAATTGTCGGTAGAGAAAATTGGATCAAGTCCTCGAGGAATGATTCGGTGACATTGGTTATGAATATGCCCCCAATGACGCATGAATTGTTGAGACTGAGAAGCTTATTGAACCCTTGAAAAATCTGTAGGAAAAATTGGATTACTTTTTAACCTTCACAGAATTCACTATTGCTCAAACACTCTCTTCTTTCTTTCTTCTTATTTGTTTTGCTTAGTTTTTTCTTGGGATGAAAAATACATACACAAATCATGGCTATTTATACCCAAGTTCCAACACTAAATTGTGGCCTAAACTTTATCACACTTAACTACCACTCCACATCTACTTAGCCCCACAAATATCTAACCATTTGTGGTTCTTTTTTCTTCTTTTATTAATCCAGAACTACCTTCATTAATACAATCTTGAGACAATTACATACACTTCACAACTATAGTTACTTTTGATATTTTAGCTAAACATTTTTTTTATTAAACTTTATTTTCTTTCACGCATGATCTTGCCTTTGATTACTTCTCGAGTCGTGCACCCATGAAGACGATCGGAGCTTCGCCAGTGCAGTGATTTCCAGGGTACAAAGAAGACCAGGATATCGAGAATCCCTTTTAAAATTTGAGCCGCTCCCGTAATCGATGCTCAATCGTATCAACGACGACGGTGAGAACCCACGGGATCCCGTTGTGGAGGGCCCTAGAGAGCGTGCCCACAATCCCGGCTGACGTGGGGATGAAGACGTTCCTCTGTACTGTCTTGAATGTCGCTAGGGCGATTGAGTCTTCGTGCAACGAGATGTTATAAAATCCGAACGCCATTGAAAGAACGTCCACACCATCGACAATTGCTCGGTCGATCGCAGTGATTGCGTCGCAGGGGAAGAGTAGTCACCGAACAATGCCTTTTAAACGGTGACGTGTGCTTTAGGAGTTGTCCCCTTTGTCATTGACCTGGCATAGCCGAAGTACGAGGTGCGGTCCATGAAGTTTTCTACTGCAGCGTTGGAGGTGTGGGTCCTGTGTCGCTGCAGACCATAGTCATGTTGGTTGCAATCAGGGACTTGTTGAACACATGTGCTCCAATCAGCTTGATGGTTCAAAGCAGTTGTTGATGAAGTGGAAATCCCTTTTCCATCTCGCCAGGCATGGACTCATCTTGTGGTCTTTGTAGCTCTCACACTCCAGGTAGGCACCCAAGACGACCACCCCGACGATCATTCCATCGCCATTGTTGGACGCCTCCCAAGCTGGAGAGGAAACACGAGGCCCAGGAAATTGGCCAAGTGCGTCGTGTCGTATTTAACTAGTGAGTTCTGAATGGAGTGGAGGAAGCCCAGAGAAGTCTTCAATGATTGGAGCTCGGAATCAGGGAGAGAAGCACACAATCCGTCGAGGACATTGGAGTATGTTTAGATTAGCTTGGAAGTCGCGGATTTTGCTTGCGATCAGCGACAGGGAAGCCAAATGCCATTGGTGTGGGGATCGAAAGGCTTTTGGCATGGCACTCGAGTCCATGGGAACAACATGTTGCTGCTCTATTTGGACAAGTGCAAAAAGAAAGGCGGTGATGATGCTAACAGTTGCCATCTATGATAAGATGAATCTTTATCCAAATGTATTGAGTGCTTCATGCATAGAATTCACAATTTGCATCAAATACAACCATTTGAAAAGAATTGGTTATATAACCAATTATGTATACTAGTAAAATGGCGTGTGTTTAGCGTCAAGATGACTTTGGTAACAATCTTAAATATACCAGTTGAAAAGAATTGGTTATATAACCTATTTATTCAATACCAAGCTCACTTCATGTATGATTTTGGTAACAATCTTAAATATACCAGTTGAAAAGAATTGGTTATATAACCTATTTATTCAATACCAAGCTCATTTCATGTTGGATTGCAACATGACCAAACTACATACTTATCAGAATATGATGGAAACTCTAGTTGGAGTAACAATAGAAAGTATATTTTTTTAGATGGATGTTCATGTCATTGGAATGGTTGTTCATTAGTGCCATACTAGAGAAGCAAGAGTTCAAGAGTAAATGAGAGAATTCTTATTTATGATTTATTTACTTTTGGCAAAACTTTATTTACAGAACTAGTAACATTCACATAGAGAATTCTTAATACATTGTTCCGCGGTAGCTCCCCCAAATGTATCAGCACATTTGAAAATAGAATTCTCAAGTACACACACCGATCCAGCAGGTGTAGTTTTTTTTTCAAAGTCAAGTGTTATATATTCAGTCATATAGAGGAAATAAGAAAAGCGCGGGAGTCGACCACGATGAGAGGGGGTCTTTTGTGCCACATGATGGGAAACCCTATTGAGTCGACGAGGAACAAAACAGTAAGAAACCCAACTAAAGAGAGAAGCCAAGCTCCAAGCATCCTCCAACATAGCTCCATCTAGATCATGAGCCAAGTTACCGTCCACCATCCATCAAATGAATTGTTGAGAATCCCCATGAAAATTGACAGAAAGAAAAGAATGTGTTATGTATCAGTGTATGACAAACTTGTCATTACAAATGGAACGCATATTCCATCATAATACTTTCAGAAGGCAAAAAGAACTTTACATGCCAGCTATCGCTTGGAAGCCTACGAAGCCAATACTACCCTTTTGGCCACGCTTAACCACGCCATCAAACCATACAATTATTGTGTCTGAGGAAGTCTCTCCGATAACCGGATCTTTGCTGCAGGGGTAGCAGGATGCTGAATTGATCAATTGCCCCTACTGTAGGACAACTAAACTCCAATGAATGGAGTTAAACAAGCCAATAAGGCTTAGGCGGATACTCCGAATCCAAAGCTAACAATCTCAGTAATAACATTTATTTAAACTATAATTAGAAAAAATTAATAAACTAAAACGGAGGACATTGAAAGAACCAACATTATCAATTTTAGGAAAATGAGCGGATACTTTTGAACTAGTTAGAGGCCATTAAAAGAAATTTTAGTATACTTAAAGGCCAATAAAAAGGTTGGAAAATTGAACACGAAATAAATTAATTGTAAAAGCTCCAAATAGTTAAGGAAGGTAAAATTAAAAGAGTTTAAATTTTAATTGAAAACTAAAAAAGAGAATGATATTAATAATAAATTAGAAAGGAGATTGAAAGACTTATCTAAAGGTGTCGGTTGGAATTTTCCTCTGGAACCGTAAAAAAACGTTTGGCAGAACGTCCGTTGAGGCAGTAAGGAAGCCGCGGTTTTCCTTGAACGGTCGTCGCACACCGACCGGGGAAGAAGACGAACCACCGCTGGCTTGAGAGGAAGACGACGAATCGCCAACCACCGTTGGGGGATTGGACGACTAACTATCCCCAGACGACAACGTTGTAGGCTTCAAAAGGCAATCCACTACCAGATTGAAAATGTCCCCGGTGACACAAGTGAGGAGGAAGCCCAGAGCTTTTCGTTTGATCCAGCACCAGCAGGTATAGTTCCTACCACGCAAAACTTTAGGTTAGAGTTATTGATATTTATAAATATACTAGCGTGGGCCCCGGCCAGATGGCCGGAGGAAAGTGAGATATGAAATTTGATAATGTAATGGAGTGTATAGCTTATTGTTGTATAGTTTTTTTTAGGAATCACGTGATAAAAATAGTGAATTTGAGCAGGAAAGAGACATGAATGATGCAATGAATAAAAAATCAGCCTTATGAACCAAAATCAAGTACATGTTACCTTGTGAAACAATATTGTTTCTGGTAATATGATGAGGTGGAGTAAGTTTTATAGAAACCGAATTCCAGAAAATCGAATAAAAAGTCGCCTATCCCGTTGGTTTTCGAGAAATGAGCATCTCACAATCGTTGTTAGCTTTTACTGGCCCGTTGGCCGATTAATTTGCTTTATAAAACTTTCATCTTGTCGTCATTGTGTTTTTTGGTTTTTGTCAGGCCATGATAAAATCTAAAGAAATCAAGAACGAGCAACACGATTTGGGATAGGAACCACCGTTTCTGTATCCTTAGAAAATGGTGGTAAACACAGACTCACCTGTCAAACTGGTTTGGATTGATACTTTTATCGTGTATCAGGGAACCATGTGATTATAAATTAGACTTGATGAAAACGAGCCAAAACTTGAAATTCAGCCTGTTTGACCGACCCATGCCAAACTCTAATTATTCTTTACTTTTAAATTTCTATTTGAAAATAAAAAATAGCGAAAGAAAAGAGATGACTGCAATTCACCATTTGCACATCACTAATTCGGGAATAAAACCATAGAAATCCGAAAGGAAACTGAAAATGTTTAGGATCGTTTTAATGTTAAAAATAACCAAATAGATCTTTCTGTTTAGTTTTTACTAACAAATACCAAACGATCACCTATAAAATACACTATAATTTAATCATTATGATAAAAATTGGACTAATTGGGTTGGTCGAGGTTGAACCATTGAATAACTTTAAAATACATTATATTTTAGCCACTAAGATATAAAATAATAGCATAATATATATTATGCTAGAGAAAATAGCTTGTTTTAGAATGACAAACTCATGATGTTCATTTGTTTTACTTGATGGCCAAATCTCATGTAGGTCACGCCCATTCAACTTTTTTATTTTATGGTTAGCGGTTAGCCCATTAGAATCCATTTTTTTTTTTTACCAATAGATCACTTGTATTACCAAGGCAAACAACTAGAAAATTTTACAATTCAAGAGCAAACCAATGAAAAAAATCAAAAGTATCTACAACTGCAGGCAACAAAGAAAGGGTCTTCCTAGCCACCTCATGGGCCACCCGATTGTTACTCCTGCCAATAAAAGCCACCTCGAAACGCAGGTAAAGGTGCCGAAGCTTCCTAATTTCTTCAAGAATCCGACCTCCCTGCATTAGTTTATTGTTAAATTTTTTCTTTTTAGCAATAAAAAGGAGTATTGTTTTTGCCTTTTCATATATATTTTACATCCATGGAGAAATAAAAGGGATTAAAGAAAAAATTGACACTCCTGGACCCGTTTAAATCCGCATGTGTACGGTAAGTTGGCCCGTTCCACAGAGGAAAGAGAAAAAAATTGACACTCCCTATTCTACCATTCCTACAAACGCTCATGAAACAGAGAATTTGTAATGGGGGAAGGGTTTTTTTCCTCCTCGCTATTATATGTTTTTCATTTAAAAAGATACAACAAATGTACTTAGTGTGATTGGTTATGATCATTGCTTTTTTTTTAACTGGTCATGGTTAGAATCCCAGTATGTGTGTTTTTAATGAATAAAAAAAAGTAATTGTGAAGACCAAAATGTCATTCTTACTTTCACTATCGTTGTAGAAAATTTGAAATGGAGCAATAATTTTCCCACTCCTGCTATTGTATATTGTGTAGATGACATTAGCTTAAAAAATAAAAATAAAAATGCCCAACCATAAAAATGTTATAAATACACCAAAGCAAACACTAAAAGCTATGTGAAATGCTTCTTCTTATTAACTAGTAACATAGTCAAATACGAAATGCAACAATAGGTGAATGGCTATTGGCTCATTCCTACAAAAGGCTTCAATGCACACAACTTATAATTATGATAATATATCTCGTTATCGTCCCAAACCTTTTCATGGTCATGGTCATCATGCAATATCAATCCAAGCAAATGAATATACATATTAATTTCATCAAATTCTGCTCATTTAGTACCCAACTCAATTAGATTGGTTAAGTAAATACTGATAGAGTTAGCCATAATTATCATCCGGTTGACCTTGCACGGAAACCATTGATAATCTGTACAAACATATATGTCCTTGTCCTCTTGGAGTGTGCTTCGTCGGAAGGAAGATGAGGGCTGTTAAGTTTTGGGGAATGTTTTGTCCTTGTGGGTTTGACTCACGATGGGTATGTGGCTCGCTATATATCATCATGTATATCAAAGCTTCAATTTCTATCGTGCAACCACACAAATTAAATGGACGTTTGGATTGGATAATATCTAACGGAATATAGCGTGATTCGATTCTTAGTTCCATTAACTATATAATTAAATACAGAAGAAAATGATATGACATACCTCAATTCTAATGGACAAAGAAATTGGTATTAATGATACTTAAGTGATCATTATTCTCTTCAGTGTAACGACTTTGATCTAGTGGTGTCGGCGCTGATATAGAATTGAAAACTAAAGATCTCAAGACTCAAGTTTAAATCTCTTATACTTGCACCTACTTATCAAAATTAAACTATATCACCCATACGAGGAAAATCATCATTCTCTTATTCAACATATATAAGTTTAACAACCCAATTATCCTTAGGAGAAACATAAATAGCCAGCTTATTGAGAAACACCAAAACCACACATCTGACTGAAGTTTATTCTTTCACACACACACACGATAAAACTGACAACACCAACTTCCATGAGAGGAAAACTAAAAAAGATTGCAAATCAAACAGCTCAAGCAGCCGCAGGCGCTATTACAATCGGGCTCGTTACTTTATGTGTCCCATGCATCTCATTCCATCTGACCCAACCTCGCGAAACTCTTCCCTTCTTGTCTTTCACATACTTCACGGTCAACGTGTAGTTCATCCTCTCATACTTCTTGACAAAAACCAGAGTCTTTGGATGAACAGTAACAGAACTCCCCCTTGGTGCGACCACATCAACCTTGTACACTCCGCCACCTTCTACAACGTTTCTCACCGTCCTTCGAAACCTCCGAACAACAACCCGTGGCGATGTCTTCTTGTTGTCGTACAACACGACGAACGATGGATAGTTACAGTAAAGAGAACTTCTTTTTGAACAATTGTCATGACGAATCAATTCAAATTCAGTGATGTTCGAATTTTGATATTTAGTATAATTCAAAGAACAAAGAGAACCCACATGACCTTTCGGACTGGTGTCGTAAACCAAACCAGGATTCATAGCTCGGTGCAGATTGACAACTGCCAGAGCTCGACCCTCGTCGTCGTGGTAGATGCCGGTGGCAGTTGTCACTATAGCAGATTTTATGGCCATGGGACTCCATTTTGGGTGGACATTTTTCAGCATAGCAATGATTTTGAAAACTTGAGGACAAGCCGCTTTGGTTGGGTTTTCATTAGATGGGCTTCGTGATCCATGGGCCGTGCCGTTGTGATCCACGGAAGCCATCCCGTTATGCCTCAGCGGATGGCGGCTGTCTAAAGATCCGAAACGGTGGTCGTCGAGAGTCAATGCGGGCCGGTAGTGAGGACCAAAGTGCAACTCGTCCATGTGAATTATGCAGCTTGCTCTCTCTAATGATCCACTGATGTTGCTGCCGTGGGACGGATGTGGGAGAAGACACGTTGCGGCTACGAAGAGGCAAAGAAGAACAGTAGAAGGGATTTGAAGGAAGCTGTTGGTCGCCATTGTAGGATTTTTGGGCTCTTTTTTGGGGGTGAAATGAGGCCTAGAGAGGTTTTCGTAGACATTTATAGGGAACGAAAAGATTGGCTGGATATATCGTTGTCGGCTGCTGCGAAGTCACAGAAGAGAAAAAGTTATACAAGTTGTTGTCTAGGTGACTAGGAGTAACGAAATCTTCCTAGAAATGGGCTCTGATAAAAAGTCAGGAAAAACCGAACTACATATGTCGACATTCTAAATTGTGTTCTTTTGTATGTGTGTGGATAGCCAGGACAAAAATGAGATGTGATTTCCTACGTGGTATACTTGGCATGTGTTTGTGTAGATGATGAGGACGATAGGTTGGAAGACTTGTTGAGCTACTGGAACTTTGTAGCATATGAATTGGTTTGGATGGATCATTTATATGGTTTGGAAAGATGATGGATGAATTCAGAAAGGAGATAATTTGGCCAAGTCAATTATAATGAGTCAATTCAAATTGTCTGTCACTACACAGTTAACTAGAATTGAATAAAAACGTATCAATTAGAAATTTTCCAAGGGAAATTGATCCATCGAAATTTTCAATTGGCAAATGAGTCAATCTGGTCCAATTGTCTATTTTAGAGTAAACGTTTAGGTGCATAATCATTAATTATATAATACATTATAATTAGATTTCAAGCTCTTTGGACAATCTGTAAAAGAAAGGTTTTGAAGGTGTAAATATGTGGATTAGTACTTAGCACAAAACATTTACCCTTCCATATATGCCTTACATTGACATTGAAGATGTTACGTTTTATATTGTTACTTGGAAAGCTGTAAAGTGTCATGGATTTTGTAGGAACGTTTGTATTTTGAGTACGGTGTCGTACTCTATGTTATTCGGATCAATAAAGTTCATGTGGCATATGGTAATTGTCCAAGCAGTGTAGGTCGATCGGCCAATAACCCTAAATCTACCCATTCATATAAGGAGATTCCCCATGAGGAGTGGGTCAAAGCATAAATTGCAGCTCTCAGCGTATCTGACGGAAGGATGTAAACGTCTTTGCACTCTTATACGTCTATAATCTCTTTCATTTTTTCCACTGAGGTCGGAAGGGAAGCCTACCGAGGTTGGGCTACTTTTTTGTTTTTGTAGAATCCCCTTTCTATTTTTAGTTTTAACTTTTAAGTTATATCATTTTACTTTTATGTATTTATTACTTATTGGTGACAAGAAGAAAATTATTATGCTAATTAAAAGGAATTTTCTAATCTATAGTCACTCTAAACTCTAGGTGAAACTTATATGGAGTATATTAAGTATATATATTCCGTTGGTTAACAAAAAAGGCAACATCTAAGTTATACATGTCAACCTTCACATTATGTTTATCGACTTGAACAATCACAAGGTCGAGCATTTGATACTCTTATAGGAATGTTTCTTTAAAACGGCTGACCTAAAGAGGAACGCGATCGATAGTTATAACTTATAAGCAACACAAATCATATCACATATTATAACTATGTTGATTGATCAAAATTTTCGTCAGATTGCGAATATATTTTACTTGGAGTTTGACCAAATCATCATAGGCATACCCCAACCAAAAATACAAAAATTTGTTTTGTTAGCTCATACACAAAGCGAACAGTTATTTCCCAACCCCGTTCAAATCAAACTGAAAAGTTTAAGCGATTAATTAGAGAACCATTCATCTATGCATTTAATATATAGTAAGAACTAAAATAGTTTGGAATTTTCTTTAGGAAGATGTTTTTTTCAAGTTGAGACAAAATGGTGTTTTGCATTTGTAAATATATTACCATTAAGTTCTTGCTTTCAATTATATGTAGGACAAAAAGAGTCTTTAAAGAGGTAGTATCTACTCGAGTAAAATTATATTTCATATTTGTAAAAAAATATTAGCATTAAATTTTTCTTTCAATGAAATTTAAGAGAAGAAGGAAGAGAATGTTCAAAATTCAAATGTAAGAGAACAATGAAGATATTGCTAATAGTGTAAAGATGTGTCGTTAATGAGGAAGAATGTGTTGTTATTGGTGGCGATGATAATGCTAATGACAAAGCAATCGTGAAGTCCAAAATAAAATTTGCATCCATTTCTAATCGACATGTTATTTCTTTTGAACACGTTAGGAGTGGGTTTCCTTACATGATATTTTTTTAACTTTCGATAATTGCATTAGTTGAATTGATTTGCATCTCAGAAAAATGATACATGCTCTTTTTTATTTTGCCAACAATCAAATATTTAGACTCTTTAGTGTATGCAAATAATCAAACAAAATTTTCTTTGGATAATTTCTATAAATTTTTATATTATCGATAAATTTATACGGCCAACAGGCCGGGTCTTAATCTAGTTCCTAATAAGAGAATTGAAGTGAGGGTTATACATATGTAACAACTGTCAACCGAGTTTGGCTGCATGTATGTGTGTGAGCAATTAAGTTAAAAAACCTAATAAGAGAATTTAAGTCTACTTGAGTAGTCTTCCGTGAATTAGTCTCGTCCTCACGAACGATAATATCATGTAAATTGTTGTCTTATTTTCAGTTTGTTCTTCGCTTTTTTTTTAATCATGTCATTATTCTTATACATGTTGTGTATATACATTTGGGAGAGAAACATTAATACTTCTAGAGATAGAGCTTTGGAAGAGCATTTATTCATAAAATTTTTGCTCATATAGTGAGTGTCTCTTGATGAAGTATATTTTTTGTTTTCGTTGAATCAGTTTCCCTCATCTCATTAATCAAAACTAGCAAGAAGCTAGGAGAACCAATTACAACGAAAGGGGTATATCAAGAATACCCAAAGAGACAAAAAATCTCATCAATCCACTATAGCTACACAAAAACAGCTACAACTACTACTGCAAAACAAAGACACCAGGAAATGGGCTCAACAGAACCATCACAAGATGCCAAAACCTGCCATCTCTTCAAGAATGCCTCTGTTTGCTCCAATGATCAGTAGATCATTTTTAATTACCCCCTGCAAATCCGCCACTGAATGAGAAAGGCCCCCATACTTCTGCCTGCACCTCTCCTTCCAGATGGAAGCCACCAGGAAACACCAGATCAACCCTGCAACTGCACCATGTTTTTTCCTGCATAAAGCACAAGCAACTTCCACAGTTGCAGGCCATGATGCCCTATACAGATTGAGAGAACAAACACCCTGTATCAGTTCTCTTGCATATGAACACTGGAAGAACAAGTGCTCCCTAGTTTCACATCCCTGTTTACACATGACACACACATCATCCACCACCTTCCCCCATTTCACCAGTTTATCAGCAGTGACAATTCCATCAAGTAGAATTGTCCAAACAAGGAAACTATTTCTAGGAACAAATCCATGCCCCCAGACTAGCTTGTGCCATTCCACTACAGGCCACTTAGGTCTGATCACCTCCCAAACTACACTTAATCGAAACCTGGGCATAGGGACCTGATTCCAGAGTATTGTTGCCCCCTACATAGAGAAATGCTGCTGCAGAACACTTCGAGCTTTCAGAATCCTGCGCCAGGCCCAGGAGCCACTAGAACCGGACCTGATTGTCCAGATGCTACCCTGCTTAACCCTGTAGGTCTTGATCCATGCCACCCATATAGTCCCACTCTGCATTAGAAGCAGCCATAACATACGAGCAGTGCAGGCTTGATTCCCGGAGTAGAGTTCCTTTATACCCAAGCCACCTTCTTTCCTAGGCGAGCCATTATGTCCCAACCAATCTTGGCCCTGCCTTCCCCTCACCATGCCACAAGAAATTAGAGCAGATCTTTTGAACCTGTTTCAGAACCTTTTTTGGGAGTAGAAAGACTTGCATCCAATATTGTAAGACTCACATCAAAACAGAAGTGACTAATTGGAGCCTACCAGCATAACTAAGTCTTTTAGCCCTCCAGGACTTTATTTTTTGAGTGATCTTTGCTACCAAATTCTCACATTCCACAGAAGATAGCTTACTTGAAATCAATGGGAGTCCCAAGTATCTCACTGGAAGCACCCCCTCCCGAAAACCAGTCATTTGGGTGGCCCTGCTCTTAAACAACACTGACATACCCCCAAAATACACTTCACATTTGGCAGGATTGCACTTCAGACCCGACAAAGTATAAAATTCAGCAAGAGTCTCCTGCACTTTGGAAATAGCAGTCCCTGACCCCTCTGTAAAAATCAAAAGATCATCAGCAAAACTCATATGAGTTAGCTTCACTTTTTTGTACTATGGATGGTAAGGAAGCCTCCCTATATCTGCAGATTCATTTAAAAGCAACGAGAGGCCTTCCATAGCTATGGTGAAAAGGTAGGGTGAAAGAGGATCACCCCGCCTAACACCTTTTTGTGCACCAAAATAGCCACACAGCCCCCCATCAATACATATGCTGAATCTAGCTGTTTTTATAGTCAACTTTATCCAATTAATAAACCCAACTGGAAATCCCATAACTTCCATCATCATAAACAGATATACCCAATTTACAGAATCGAAAGCCTTCATAAGATCCACTTTGATAGCACAACGAGAAGATAAGTGTTTCCTGTAATACCCACTAACAAGCTCTTGAGCCATTAAAATGTTATCTACTATCCTCCTCTCTTCAATGAAGGCTGATTGATTACCACTGATTACCTTAGGTAGTACTTTCTTTAGGCGATTAGCTAATATCTTTGCAATAATCTTATAAAGAATGTTAATGAAAGAAATTGGCCTATAGTCTTTGAGAGCACAAGTAGAAGGTATTTTAGGAAGAAGAGAAACAGCAGTGGCATTAACACTACCTGGCAATCGCCCAGAGGAGAAGAAATCCTTAACTCCCGCAATAATATCAGCACGAATGATTGGCCAAGCTTTTTTTATAAAAGCCTGCTTGAAAATCCATCAAGGGCCAGGGGCCTTGTATGGATTCATATGAAGCACCACAGTCTGAATCTCCTCCTCAGTGATAGGAGCAGTGGGAAGAGAGGCCTCCTGAATACCCAGCCTTTTGTGAAC